GGAATAAAATGAATATATGTTCTTTTCCCTCCAACAAGTCAACGAACTGCGGCAGGTTTTAGTAGAATTCAAGGCCAAAAAAAAAAAAAAAAAAAAAAAAAGAGATATTATATAGTCCAGGCTGGATTTAGTTGTGGACGGCGGTGAACCACCCACCTTTACGAGATCTTTTGTTGTACATTTCAGGTGTGGGTCAACTGTGGCACTGGACTTGGTTCTTTTTCATTGTGGATTAAGTTTTAAAGGACACGAGTCAAAAGCCAAAATTACGCGAAGTCCATGTCGTATCATTTTACGAAATCTAATTGGGCAAAGATTTTTCATATAAAACGACTAGAGAATTGGTTATGTCCACTACATAAGTATCAAACATTTGAACTTGAACAAACCACAATCAAATTATCCCTTTTAGTCTGGAATGACATCCAATTCAAACTGGCAGCAGCTTTGATAAAGAAAAGGGGCTCCCCTCACTTAACCTTCTCAAGCTCAGGCTCCTTAGGTAAGAAAAAGTAGGAACCATAGGAGATAAATTTCTGAATAGGAGTGTCAATCTTCTTAGATTTGGATAAAGATGTAAGCCACCGGCAGCAGGGTGAACCAGTGGCAAGATGCTGGGTTGGAGGTAAACTTAAATTGAGCTACGTGTTTCCCTGCAAATAATATTAACTGCCAAAGTTGCTTGACAATGCTTCCCCAAATCAGATAGATCATTCTTCATTGCTAATAATTATTCTATCTCTTTAGGATGTCATTCTTTCAAACTTGCACTAAAGCTATATTAACGCCTCAATAGGTATAAAAGTTGATTCCCCAAAGTCATGCTTTGTCATCGGTAAGTTTACTAACGAGATCTTCTTACTCATTTAAAATATTGTCAATATCACTATAATTCAATTACATATGTATTAATTTTTTTTAGTTGTCGTGTTTAAAAATTTTAAATGAAACGAAAATTTTGAAAATGTATATAATGTTTGGTAAAAGTAAAAAAAAATTCCTTTCTAACTAGATTAATAATTTAATTTATGAATTTAAAGAAAAGTAGACCAACATAATTTCTAAAAATTGAGAATAAAAAATATCACTAATCCCATTTTAAAAAATTGTCGCACTAAAATTAATTAAAAAAAGAAAAAGAAATTTAACTCGGGGTTGCTTGCGCGGAAGATGGAAAAAGAAAAAAGAAAAGAACTTCTGGTTGTCCATTTTATTTTAACTCAGTAGTCACAAGGCAGAAGAGAGGCACGTGAGGTTTGTGTTCAGGAAAGACCTCAGCCCTCGAACTTGGAAGCTTTCAGGTGAGAGCGCTGTGCAGCGGTGCAGCGACCATGGCAATTGATGGAATTGAAGCCTTCTCGCCTCCCTCTCACCCATCTTCCCATTTCAGGTATTGCTGTTGCTGCCGCCCTCTTTTGTATTTTACAAACCTTTCTTTCGATATACAGTGATCCCCATTTTGTTTCGCTTTCTCAGTCAACAGCGCCACTTCTATGTTGCCGTCGACAGGCTCCAGTTCAAGATGGTGCTTTTCTCTCAATCTACGCTCACGCACATTTTTTGGATTTCAATTCCTATGTTTGGTTGATATTTTTTTCTTGGGTTTTGCTTTGCTCGGTCAATTTTTTTTTTCTATTCCTTTTATACGGTGTGTATTTGGCAGGAAACATTAGTGGGTTTGTTGGACGTAGCCGGTCGCCGTCCGTCCTTGCCGATGATTGTGTGTTGTAGTTCTCGCGACGAGCTCGATGCTGTCTGCTCCGCTGTCTCCAACCTCCAATACATCTCTTTGGCATCTTTGGTATCGTTATTTTTGCTCAATAAAAGTTTTTCTATATGAAATTCGTGAAATGCGTCTAGAAATTCCCAACCCTGAGCCTGATATATGCATCATTCTGTGCCACTGAATGAATAATTTCATCTCGAAGCAACGACTTACCTGAGTTGATATTCAATTTGATCATGAGTCATGACCTTACTTTGGACAGGATCGGTTCTATAGGTTTACTGTTAATCTGGATCCTAGTTCTGTGGATAAGATGCCTGAACTGGTAGAGTGCCATCAGTATACTGGTAATCCCTAATATTAATATACTGAAGCAGGCTGTAGTAAATAATTTCAATCGGTAATGGAAACCAACTGATGAAACTAACCAATATGAATCCTAATTGTGCTAGCTAGATGATAGAAATGCTTTTAGGATAGAATTAGGAGTATTATTAAGGCATTAAGGTATATTAGTAATTAATTAGAGTAGTTATGATGATTTATTATTAATAGAGTGAGAAAGGATGGAGGTAGGCAATTGTTTAGATGGTTTAAGCTTGAGAGTGTATGCTCAAGAGTGAGGAGGTTCCAAGTATCTCAGATACTCAGCATATCTTGTATTTCTTCTATCTCATATCTTTAAATATCCTTTTAGTTGTTTGGGTCCTAAGTCACTAGATTAGCATCCTTTTTTTTTCCACTGATGATTTTAGTTCACATCATCACATGTATGTTGTCTTAAACTCCTGTCGACATAGTAGTGATGTAGGAGTTGGTTATAATAGTTCGGTATTATTTTTGTAGTTTTTAAAGTACTTAGCTGTTAAATCCTCTATAAATAAAGCGTTAATCTCTTGCATTAGCTTACTTTGAATCATCATGAAATCCTTTGAGCTATAATTCTGGGAGAATTCTACTTATGATTTAGGCTACACCGCTTGTCTTAATTCTTTTTTTGTTAAGTGATGGTCAGTGTTGATTGAATATCAATTGATTTGATGATAAGATCACCCTATACAATTTACCGTTTTCAGTATCCTCCATCATACAGTTTTTGAATACTGCTATATTATTTTGACCCCGTATGCAGCCATTTGTTGTTTCTGTTGTATGTTCATTTACTTTTACTTTGTGGTTGTTACAGTTTTAGGATCAAGTTTTTGCACTAGTTTTTACTTCTTTTTGCAAGGGAAAATTACCCCTTGTTAAATCTTACAACGAGTACATTTTGTCTTCTTTCTTCAAGCCAATATGTTACTCATGTTGGCATACATATGGGGTAGCCACAATACTGTGGTTACTTTGTGAATGGACAAGATTACTTACTGTATGACTTATATTGATGTATTGCATTTATTGCTTGTCTTATTCAGTACAGTGACCTTGCTGAAGCAGACCGTGCACTGATTTTAGAGACATTTCGGCAAACAACATCGAGGTGGAGCCAAAAGCTCAATTCTCTATCAGATGACAAATGTGAGGTTGAGGAAGATGGTGAAAAATCTCACATGATTGTAGTAACAGACGCTTGCCTTCCACTTCTTGCTTCTGGGGAGTCACCTCTTTCTGCCCATGTTTTGATAAATTATGAGCTACCAACAAAGAAGGTTTAGTTTTCAGACTTCAGGATTATATGAGCTGATAATTTGTAAAATCTGTATTAGAACTTGAGTGTGTTTATTTCAAACTCACTTCTGTCATGATTCAAAATCAACTTAGTATTTAATTTACCCTTTTAAACACGATTTTTATTCCATATAAATTGATTTTGAATAATTAAAAACATGTTTGGGAGTGATTTTGAATATAACAAAAAGTGATTTTAACCATCTCAAAATCACTTTCAAAATGCCATATATCAATGATGCTTCACTTTCGTTTTTGCCTAAATATTACTGAATTTCTTATCCTCTTTGTATTGCTTCTAATGTGCATCTGAAATCATTATTCGACCATTCAAAACGGGTAGTTGTAGTTGCATGATTGTACAACTCTTCCTATTGCTTTATGTGTTACTGGTCTTTCTTAAAAACAATCTCATAGCAGAATTAGATATTAAAAAACTTACATGAAGTGTATTCATAACTTCATACGGTGATTTTCATTGCAGGAAACGTATATGAGGCGCATGACTACCTGCTCGGCCTCAGGTTATTCTTCTATACTGCAATGGATTATGATATAAGCTGCAGGGATTAGGTTAATCTTCATGCATACTTCCTTTGCATTTATATCCAGATGGGATCTTAATCAACATGGTTGTTGGGGGAGAAGTGGTAACTCTCAAAAGCATTGAAGAAAGTAGTGGCCTTGTTATTGCCGAGATGCCCATTAACGTAAGTTTGTTACTTGCTTTGATCTTCACGTGTTTTAGATGGATAAAATTTTTGCTAAGGATATCAGTTTCCCAAATAATTGATCCTGAATATTACTAAACAAAAAAAAAAGTCAAATCATAGTACTGCTTCTGTGTTTTATACAACTGCTGAAGTTGGAAGGAGACCGTATTGCAGATTTCTGAAATTTTATGAGAATGCATATGAAGACAACACAGAAGGTTCGCTTGTAGAGGTCTTGAACTGTGTCATCTGATCAACGAAGTTGATCATATCAATGATATCTTATGTTTTCAGATCATTCCTTATTAAATTGTAAGAACAAAATTTGTAATTTAACATTTTAGTTGCTACTTTCTTTTTGAAATGTTATATATCATAAATTCGGTTCAAATTAACCAACACCTTCTCAAAAGAAAAGAAGCACGACTTTTTAGCGAGAGGAAAAACTTAGGTTGTGAAGTAGTATTTATGTGGGAATAACATGGATCTTCTTGTTTCCTTCACGAATGGGGTCCGAAGAAAACTGGACCCAACCGATCGAAGACATAATGGGTAGGGGACAGGCACGCTCACCTCGTGAAGTTGCATAGTAGTATTTAAGGAACATATACTATTATCCCATGAGATTTAGACTCGAACTCAAAACATTGCAACAATTGCAACTTTTGTAAGGACAATATATTTAATATATAGACCTTACAATCATGTGATCATAAATCATATGTTCGAATAATTTAAATTAGTCTTTCCCAAATCTTACATTCGAATAATTGACTTCATTTTATGCAAATTCTGAACAATGAAAATAAGTATTGTTAAATTTCATTTCTTTTAGAAAATGGTACGTATGGTATGGGAGGATAGATTATAAAAATAACTGGAATATTTAGACGAAGAAGGAATAATGTATGGATAAATGGTGAGAACCAAACAACAGTTTAGCCCTCCGACACTTGAGTCTGGAAGAATCTAAGACTAAACCCGTAACTTACACGTGTCATTTAATGTAGCCTTCAAATTTCATTCCTGTTGTCTGCAACGCAATTCTGAACGTCGCCGCCTTTGGCCTGAGCGCACAAAGTTTCCCACTAAGTTAGCGAGCGAAACCAGAGCCCTCTCTTCCAATCTCCAACGCCTCATCCTCTAATCCACAAGCTGACCCTCTTCCTTCCAAATGGACTCCATCCCTTTGAACTGGGAAGCTCTCGATGCCCTAATCATCGATTTCGCCAGATCAGAGAATTTGATTGAGGATTCATTTTCATCCTCCCCACCTCCTTCTCCTTCCCCTTCCCCTTCCTCGCTTTCCTCTTCCTCTTACCATTCCAGGCTGATCATCCGCCAGATCAGGCGCTCTTTGGAGGTCGGTGATATTGATTGCGCCATCGATCTCCTCCGCCTTCATGCACCCTTCATTCTCGACGATCATAGGCTTCTTTTCCGGTTGCAGAAGCAGGTCACTCTAATTCTGCTCTCTCTCTTGCTGCGCACCTGATGAAATGTGCGACTTCTATTTCTTTTGGTTTTTGTTGTTTTGGCTAATTAGGGTATGTTTCCATATTTGACCATGCCGCATTAAGAACTGGAAATAAGGAAATACTGAATCCATTTGTTCAGTAGCTGAACATTCTAGTCAGCCGAACACCCTTTCGTGTTTTTTTTTTTTATATTTTTTTTCAGCAAATAGTTTGGTGGGACTTTTGAGCTCATTGATTTCCTTTTCTGTGTGTATTGTATTCAGAAATTTATCGAGTTTTTGAGGAAAGGGACTGCAGAGGATCGTGATTTGGCCATTCAATGCCTCCGCACGGCGCTTGCTCCTTGTGCTCTTGATGCATACCCGGTAAGCATTTTGCCCCATTCAGGATTTGCTTTGAATTGGTGTTTAAAGAGAATACTCTCTGCTTATCGAATTGAGCGAAGCATTATTGTCTTTTTGAAAGAAAGAAAGAAAGTTTCCGTTGAACTATGAAAAGTACAAGAGGAAGTGCCATAAGCCATCTTTTTTCTACTGTAGTCGGCAAAATAAAGAAGTAGCTGTAACTACGGAAGGCGACGAAAGAGAAAAAGAGAAAGAGAGAGCACCATAAAAACCCAAAATTCTTATCCTCTCCCAGAAAAGAGTGCCTTAGAATAACTTTAACTGCATTACTCCAGATAACATTAGGTTTCCCTTCCACTTGATAATCCCATAATAATCGTTCCATAATGTCTAGAATCCTTTGCGGAAGAAACCATTGTGCTATTTTAAATCAGATTCTGCAATTTATCTTCTTGTGCTTCTGGCTAACTGCTCTTCTATTTATGTTGAAGGAAGCGTATGAGGAGTTCAAGCATGTTCTACTTGCCTTCATTTATGACAAGAATAATCAAACATCCCCAGTGACATATGAGGTGGATAATACTATTTTCTCCATCACATCAGTGAATATTATCTTTGGTATTTTGGATATTGTTCAGTGGTTGTTGACTATGCCGCCATTTGGAAACCTGTAACATATGGCTGTTCTTCATAATTAGAATGCACATTTTGTATTTGGGCATCATATACTTCCGACTGTTGGAAGGGTAACCTTTCCTTTTTAACCAAGAAGGACTTCCCTGCTCTCTCATGATTCATCACTACGGAATTCTAAGAAGGAAAAGATGGTCCATTAATTTCTTGGGATTTGACCACTTTTAAGGTCCATTAAGCCATCAAACTGAAGTCTAATGTTTCACGTTAGTTCTTACTTGACATGTTTAGAATAGTCTCTGTTTAGATTCAGGCCCTCAGGGCATTCTATAAGTCCAGTACACATATCTCTTTTGACTAGAAAATTCGAGCTCCCTGTTTCTGGGTGCATAGCATATGGAATTGTCTTGTATATTGTCAATGTTTCTTATTTGAGACAAAGAATTGATTATTTTATTTAAAAAAATCATTGTTATTTTTGTTTGAGATGTGAATTATCGTCTCTTCATTCACAGTTGCTTTCCCTATTATGTTTATGTTGTGTGTGTGTGTGTGTGTGTTTTTTTTGTTTAATCTTTTAAGTTAAATATAATGCAAAATCTACCCTTTGAAGTCTGAACTACGTAATTCTCAAGAAACTTTTTGTTTTCTTATGATGGATACTTTTAGTTTAAGGTGCAATATGTTATTCTTCAGTGGTCTGAACAGGGTGGAACTATGAATTGCATTCAGTTTTTCTTTCTGAAAGTGCATTTTCTTTTGTTTCAGTGGTCTGAAAGGAGGAGATTCGATATTGCTGGATTAATGTCCTCAGTCTTACGAGCTCATATGCAGGCATATGATCCTGTCTTCTCAATGACCTTGAGATACTTGATAAGGTTTCTTTCTTCATTTTTGCAAAAATTTTCTCCCCATAGTTGGTTGTATGATTGATAAAAGTTTGCATTGAATATAAAATTTAATTACTTTTATTGTTATTTGTTATTTCTTGCAGCATACATAAAGGTTTTTGCTTTCATGAAGGTGTGTCATCTCCCATATCAGATCTCACTGAGAGGTTGCTTCTAGATGAACTTGATCCGCCTGCCACACCCAAAGAGAGCCTGTATGAAGCACCTCCATTTGATGAAGTGAGATGTCTGAATTTTTTTAATAAATTTTTTAATTAAAAAACTTGAGCTTTTGGGTAGTTCTATTAATGATGTGGTACAATGTGAGGGTCTGTCCCTTTTTGCATCTTTATGGTTTCCTATTTATCCAGAGTTGTCATTTTCTTTGCTTCTTATTTTTTTGTGCTTAATATGAGTGCAGGTGGACATTCAAGCTCTTGCACATGCTGTAGAGCTAACGAGACAGGGGGCTATTGATAGCTTGAGATTCACCAAAGGTGATTTGTTTCATGCATTCCAGGTAAGCATCTATCTGAATTTTATCCTTTCTGATGTTTTGCGTTTATTAGATTCAATTTAAGAAAATCTTCGTGTATAGGTGCTAAACCCACTGTATGCTGTTTAGTGTTGCATTAGACAGTTTGAACCATAACTTTATTGGATGTCATGCTTGTAATTTATACTAGCATGGGACTTAGAAAAATGACACTGAGTTTGTGGTGAATAGAAATGGTTAGTCATATTGGAACACAAGTTTGATGGAAACATTGAGAAATTTAAGGAAAGAACAAGGACCATAGTTCATTTAAAAATTTAGTTTATTTAACTCTGTAATAATTTTTGAGATAGATTGTTAATTTCTTGACATTTTCTAATACCAGAACCTTTGCTCTTTATCTCTTGATTTTCTCTAACATGGAAAATGGTTTTATTCTGTACAGTATTCTCTCGATGTTTTGTAGTTATGACCATCAATTCCAACTATCTTGGCAATTAAAATAGTATTGTTCATTTTGTTTCATTGTCATGATGGTTTCATTGATTATATGAGTTTTTACTTCCACATCGCAGAATGAGTTGTGCCGGATGAAATTGGACCTTTCTGTTCTTGATGAGCTTGTTCGTGAGTACTGCATATACAGAGGAATTGTGGACTCTGGTTGTGGAGCTCTCTCTGGTAAAACTCAAACTCTTAGTCCCTTTATCAATAAGCTTTTTTGCCTTCTAAACCCGTTTGCCATTTCTTGATAATCAGGGATGCAGAATCTCTCTAGCTCATCAAAGGTTAATCAATCAGAGCTGGAGTATTGTTCATCTAGGAATACTTCTTTTGAAGTGGACTATGCAACCGGTAAACTTTCGGATGGTGAAATTTCTGTCAGTAATTCTCGTGTGGATAGTTCTCCTGAAAATATTGCTGACGTGACAAGCTCACAAGGTAACAATGAGGTTGAGTTACGATATGCATCGGAGCCAACGTCCAATCGAGAAGATTGTAGCACTAGTGATTCAATTCATGTGGGAAATTCAAGAACATTACAAGCAAACAAGAATCGTGGGATTGTAGAAAGGAGCAAGCGTAAGAGATGGAGAGGAAGACACGATGATAGAGAACTTCATGATGTGTCTTACAGTGGATGCAGTAAAGCAGAACTTAGCACTATAACAGTGGCCAGTACGACCATGTCTAAGGAACGGCAGGTAGATCCATAACTATATTTCTTCCATCTAATGAAATGATCTGACCGAAGTGTGTTCTGCAGAACCTTGAAAAACATATACCGATAGACTCTACTGGCAAGGAGGATAAATATGAGATTGTCTTGGGCATTAGGGAACTGGCTAGTAAAAGGTTGGCTGCAGAGGTTGTGGAAGAAATTAATGCCCTGGATCCGAACTTTTTTGTACAAAATCCTATTTTCCTATTCCAACTTAAGCAGGTAAATTGGTTTTCGAGGTTAAGTGTGAGTTTTCTTTTTATACTCGTTATTCCTACTACACCATTAGCTAGTTATTATGGATGGAAGTTCACAACTGTATGTGGTTTGAGGAGAGTTGTTTATTTTCACTTGTCTCAAGTATGGAAGTAGATGGCAATCTTAGTGTTTGTTGAAAACAATGTATTTAGTTTCTTCTTAGCATTGAAAGATAGGCAAAATCTTGTTAAATTTATTGATACTTCTTTGGAATTTATTTGACGTTCCTATGGTTTCAGGTTGAATTTTTGAAGCTGGTTAGTTCTGGTGATTATTCTAGTGCTTTGAGGGTCGCATGCACTCACTTAGGCCCATTAGCTGCTAATGAGCCTTCCTTGTTGAAGCAATTAAAGGAGACCTTATTGGCTTTGCTCCTGCCTAACGAAGATTTTCTTGGGAAAGGCTTCCCTGTGAATGCTCTTGCTAATTCTCTTCAGGTATTAGACGAAAATTATAGATGCCACTATATTTGAGGAGAAAATATTATATTTTACTGATCATTAGAATAGCATATTCGTTACTTATAATAAATATATGCTCAGATTCTATCCCTTCTGGCACATCCTATAAAAGTATATGCTGACATTCTTTGGTCACTTTGTCAATCATAGTGTGATCGGAACTTGTGTGTATTTGTGCCAAGTTAAAAGTGAAGAAGGTGCTTGGTGCCTTCATAGGGAGGTGAATCCATGTTGCAGTTCTTGTAGGCCCTACATTGTGGATAGTTGGAAGTGAAAGAAAAAGAGAATGATTTCATTATTAAGTCTTAAATCTAAAAAGTTGATTGGAATTATCTTTGACAGAAAAGCCCTTGGTTCCAAGTAGAGTAAATTTATTTCTTTTGTAAGTTACTCTTTTTTAATCAATGATTGTCATGACATCGAAGCTAAACCAGTTTGAATGGTGTTTGGCTGGCGTTCTCTAGGTGTTGTGATTTTTTCTGCTCACTCAAACAACCTTCATTCATTGAGGGCAGCCCCTTCTTAGTTTATACTATATTTTACCAAACTAAAGTGTAAATGTACTCTTAATTGTTGTGATAGAGTTGCTATTTCATTCAATCTGCAAAAGATTTAGCTTTTCTGGTGTGTATTAAATTTCTACTTGGAGTAAATGTTTGAATATGCTCCATTCAGAAAGAATCTTGTTGCACATCTACATTTTTCTTTATACATTAAACCACATTTATATACTGGTCACAAGCTAAAGTCATCGTTCTTCAGTGTAGACCATTATTTAGGTACAAATGTTCAACCATTTCGAATGCTGATACCTCAGGATCTGACCCATATAAACAGGCTAGTAGTATGTTCACTTATTGACAATGAGCCATGCAAACTCATTATTTTTTCATGAGCAATATTTTATTCAGAAGTATTTCCTTTTGAAATAACCAGAAATAAGAGGACATTCCAAGGGGAAGAATCCAGCCAAGAGATTTTTTGGGAGGTTTTTCTGTAATCCCTTTGGCTTGATGGGGATCCCTCATCTCCCCCTTTATTATCCTCTATTTGAAAATGAATTTGAGTTTCTTATATAAAAGAATCAAGATTATTTCAATATAAGTTCAAAAAGTGCTTCTTTTATTCAATTAAACATGTTTTTCAAATAATCAGTTCACTAAAATGAAGGTGGTTAGGATTAATCAAGTGAGAAAGTGCATGCATTTGGTAGAGAGATTAGCATGAAAAATGAGTGCAAAGAGGTAAAATAGTGAGAATGTATATAAAGAGAGTGATTAAACATGGAGGAGAGAGGTGGAAGCCTCCTTCCTCTTTTCTTTTCAATTTTATAGTTGGAGCTCAACCTAATACATAACTTATCTTCAATGTGCAGATAGCGGGTTTCTATATTGTTTGTATGTTTGTTTGTTTTTGTTTTTATTTTTATTTATTATATAATTTTTACAATTATTACTTTTTAAGGACGATGTGGGAAGTCTTAAATTAGTGGCAGCTATTTCATATAGTGTGGAAGGCCTCGTGGTTGAGCATCGATCTCCTGAAATCATACATAATTTGAGTGGATGTTTTCTTTTTCTTTGGGGGGGGGGGGGGGGGGGGGGGGG